TTTCGCATAAAGCTGAAGAAGGAGGCAAAGCTTTGCCCTCACTTTGTGCACAGCGACTTGATGAACTGAGGGCAACAGAATATTCGATAGTGCAATGCGTGTAACAGCACGCCTTTCAACAGGAATTTTTATGCCCTCATCAGAGAATCACGTTCCGATGAGACCCGGAATTCGAAGTGAGCTAACACGTCACGTGAACTCTCTCTAGTACTTTGTGAAGGACTGATACGTGTCGCATGAAAGCCCAAATCTCACAGGGATCTCAACATTTCTCCTGGTCGACACTTTTGGATTAGATACGATCATGTGACGGCTGGACACATTGGCACGTCGCATGTTATACTTGTTACGCGTCAGAAATTTTGGGTTGTCACAGGGGCAGCCGCAGTTAAAAGGCTTGTGCTTGAGTGCTTGTCATGTAAGGCAAGGTCGGTGAAGCCAGTGGAATTTTAACCAGCCTGCGGAGTAAAACATGGTTACACGTTTGCCATCACCAGTGTGGATTACTTCGGCCGGACGACAGTAGAGGAAGACTCACGCACTTCTCCGTTTTGTTAACTGCTGCGGTTCATCAAAACAAGTGCACAATGTCCAAGGCAGTAAGTTCATTCGAGCCGGACTAAAAGTACGCAGTTTCTGGAATTCATAAATTGTGATCCCGTTATTAGGAGAGCGCTATTCCACGGGATCGAATGACACTTCATTCCCCCTATTGCATTTACCGCGGAGTATGGGAGCGTCAGATACGATCTATCCGCCGAGTGCCAAGTGCGGTCTCGCTCCAGTAAGTTTTGAACGACGAATCTTTGTCTGCCGTGAAGCGTATTTTAAAAAACCGTCTACGATGATTCAGGCTAATTAGACGTGATGTGTCTAAGTTATTTTGCATAATGACAGGGACGCCTTGATCTGTCGGGTATGTGACCAATATACATGGCAGATATACCCGATGTTGGAGACAGGAGCAACTGTTGGCCGAAAACTTTTGATGTGGACGGTTGAAGGAGTACATTAGACTTATACAGTTACGATAAAATTCGATACGGAAACCTCGAGATTTTCGAGATGAAGACTTCTACCAAACTGTCCAGTAAGCATTGCACGGACTCAAAAGAACAGTTGCATGCGAGTAAAACGTATTGGCAACGGACAAACTAGCCAGGAGACCACAAGTGTCCTCTTTCATATTTTGGCGCAAGACATACCTCAGTGCAAGTGATTAATTGTATACAGATTACTTCCTAAAGACTAGTACGTAGAAAACACTCGAGCTTCCGTCTCCGTGAATGTCTACTGATCAGTTAAACTGTGCAAGCCAACAGTAACAACAACACCTGAGCGTGATAATCTAACCTGACGCCTGCTTCAAACGGTCCCATGTACTTCACAGACCTCGTACAATTTCGCCTCGAATAAGGAATGGTGACAGATATGATTCCACAAGATAGCGAATGCACGGAATCACCACGGAATTTACGTGATCGCATTGGCCTCAAACATTTACCCAGTTGTCGAACAGAAGTTGATAAATTGACCACTGGGATCATAGGCTGCGGTTTATTCAAAAAAACACTAAGACTTAGGACGTGCACAGAAAAGAATCAAAGATGAGTTTGTGGTGAGCACAATCAACAAGCGTGTCTCGCCGAAGAATCAAATTGGCATGCGTGTCCGAATATCAGTCGATGGTTTACTGGCCCAATGGAAATTTGAGTGGAACAACCTGGTCCGAGGCTTCGCTTTCACTTGCACGTGGGAAACAGAAATCCGGAGATATATCACAACGCCAACCGGGTGGACAGCAAAGTACCGTGGTGGTCCAAGGGCAACAGTTTCCCTGGAACAGAAGGCAGACGTAACAAATATATTTCGATCACACAAATGCAACGCTGGAGTTCAAAACCGGCCACAGGGCGTGCTAACTAAATCTCTCACCTAGTTACTCGCTAACTATCTGACTAACCAGCTAACAGGCTAACAAGCTGGCTAGGCAACCAAATGAGCAAGAAAATAGCCTACGGAACAATAACCCAACCGACTGAAGAAATCTGGTCACATGAGTAACACGAGACACAACAAACGTTCTTCATCAACATACACCAAGTTTGCCCCACGATCCGAAATACGTCGGAATGCGTTCGGTCTGCCCAGGCCGAGCTGCAACCGAGACCAACAGCACGGCCAACACCAGCATACGTAGATCTATCATCGGGATTGTCGTGATCAGCTAGTCCTTGGTTGCCTACGAACGCCAATCCCCACATCCTCTCTATATATACATGTGCAATGCAACGCGAGGCGATGAAATGCAACCCGCACCCACGGAACTACCGGATACGCATTTGCAACCGCCGGCCTGGTTCCTGTTCGGGTGTGCTTCTCTGTCATTGAGGGCGTATGCGGTGCAAGGTGCCCCTGACGAATGGTGGATTTTGGAATTTGGACGTGTGTATGTGTAGCAATATTGCACTATTATTTTGGCGGAATTGATTGATAATGTGCATAGTCAATGGTCGAATGGTTTCTTTCGCTCATGTCATTTGTTTCGGATTTGTCGCACGCAAGCGGTGAACTGTGAAACTGGTCCATGTTATCACCGACCGGGATGATGTAGGATTTGTCTGACACCCCACATAATACCCGGATGTCCCACTTGGCGCTCCCAAGGTCGTATCCGCTTGTCCCGTCCGTAAATTCATCCACCATTTTGAGTTGCGGTAACTATTTCTATTACGTTCTGTGGCCGTTTCGAGGCGTGACGTCTTCGAGTTTCGATCTGTACAATCTGTTTAATGAACGTCTATTTCTTCCCAGATAATCTAAACCGGATGTGATATTTGTGGTGTAGTGTTTGCAAGAAAACCGGTAATGAATATCAGAAGTTGTATCATGAAACCTGTTCTCGGGGCAGTTGAAATCGCCCGGAATTTCGCGTATGGTGTCATGATTGAGAGTTTCCTTGTCCTTATGCCATCAGCGAATTTGAGCAATTCTAGTTCATCCGGATAAATCTATAGACATTCTGTTTTCATGAAGGAAACTCCTCACAAGGTTGCTGAGAACTCTTCGATAGCCAACGACCGGTTTCGCCCTTCTTGATACTCATCAGGTAGGCGCAGTCCCCGAGTTTCCATCAACCTTATGTTCTACGAGATATCGTTTTATAAATGAAGCCAATCTAGGCTGAAAAGACGAAGAGTACTGCAGATCCATTTTATCCTTATTGAGAACCATCATCAGTGTCGCGCATCTTCCAATATTCCGGGATGTATCGAATCTAAGCTGGTAATTGTGCTATCACTCAGAGCATTTCACCGCCCGAACTTAGGGGGCCTATCAGTGGTGCGAATAGCTTGCAGTGGGACGGAGAAAATTGTCACTCATCCTTCATTTACGGAATCCACATCACGTGGTTACGTGTTGGCTGGCTCCTCGAATGACAATTTCTGAGGTGGGTGCTCGCCCATCAGGGGAGTTGTTCTTCATCTGATCTACATGTGGAGCGAAGATGATGTGAATAGATTTGGGAAGTTTTAATGAAGGCTTCGCCCTTCATTCGTACTGAAAATAATCAGCAATTCGTATTTCATGGAACTCTAGGGAGTCTCGAGTCCGCAACAGCTAGACTTCTCAGAGTAGACTGGTTTACCACCATCGAAAATTCCCGTATCTAATCCCACTATCAGTACTCAGATGGACAGATCGATTAAGGCGATTCGAACGTGGAGATGTTTGAAATCGTCCGCGTGACCAAAACTAGCATTGGTTGTCGCCTCGGATGAGATACGACTACGAAGCTCAGAGGCATACGTTGCAGGCGGAGAATGGAAGTATCCGAATCTGCGATACCCCTTTCAATTACGCAAGCGATGTCCTGGATAATTCATTGTTCTCAAGATCGGTCACATCCATTTTACTACCTCATTCTTGGTTTTCTCAATGAAACGCATGATGCTCCAATGCAGTTGGCGTCCATCTTTCAGACACTGACAGTGGTCGAACTATGGTACATTTAAAGAAATCAGAGATGTCCAGTCTGAACGCCATTTACGAGAGCTTCATCTGGCGTGGCAACGATCAATAATCCTGATAGAAGATGTGAGCGATATCTGGTTAAAGTATCTCAAAGGCTGATTCCGCATACTTTGAACCGTTTCACATCGTATGTTCATCAATGTTACACATTCAGCCTGCGTCTACGGAAGCGTAGTAGGACACATGCGGATGCTGAATATCAGGACAACAATTTACTACTATCATTATTTCGCGATCTATACATCGGGCCGGTAAAGATGAGGGAATTATAAAGTAGAGGCGAGGGATCCATGCGAGGCAAGTAAGGTTGACATGCAGTTTGCGGGAACAAGTGGCAAAATGCTAATGCCACGATCGATTGGCCTGGGTGAACAGCAGTCACGTGAACAGATCACAGAAGACTGGATGCGGGATATTCACCGCAACTCAAATTGGTGGATGATTTTACGGACGGGGACAGCGGATACGACCTTGGCAACGTTATTCATGTGACTAGTTTTGTTTCAGTCGGTTGGGTTGTCGTTCCGTAGGTTAGTTTCTCGCTCATTTGGTTGGGTAGCCAGCTTGTTAGCTGTTTAATCAGATGGTAAGCGAGTTATTTGGTCAGCTATTTAAACAGTACTCCCAGTGGCTGCTTGTAAATTCCTGCGTTTCGCTTGGGTGATCGAAATATGTCTGCCACGTCTGCCTTCTATTCCAGAGAAACTGTTGCCCTTGGACCACCACGGTGCTTTGCTGTCCACCCGGTTGGCGTTGTGATATATCTCCGGACTTCTGTTTCCCACGTGCGAGCGAGAGCGAAGCCTCGGACCAGGTTGTTCCACTCAAATTTCCATTGGGCCAGTAAACCATCGACTGATATTCGGACACGCATGCCAATTTGATTCTTCGGCGAGACACGCTTGTTGATTGTGCTCACCACAAACTCATCTTTGATTCTTTTCTGTTTATGCCCATCGGCTTAGCTTTCCGCAGTGTATCATATTTTATTAGGTCAATGTTGTTTTTGGCGGCTTACTTTTCCACCGCCTATGTACACTTTGTTATTTGGGTCGATTCTCAGTATGGTTTGTTGGTTTGATATTGAGAAATATATATTTCTGGTTGTAGTCATGAACAATGAAATATCCCGAGCAATATGTTTAGTTTTCATGAACTAGTGTTTACCGGTGTTGTGTTTTGATGTCCACACTGTTCCAAAATGTGACCCTTCTGAAGACAAACACCACTGTTTGTCGTATTCTCCGTGGGATTTCGTTGCCAGGTTTTCCGTCGGGGCGTATATTTGAACCTTGTATCCTTTATAGTTTGAAGGCATCCAGCCACGCATTGAATCCACACAAGCCAGTCATGTTTTTTGCAGGTGTCCGATGTAGGATGTATATGATTGGCATGATTTGAATGCCACCAATCGAACAACATTAGACTCTTTAGGGCAGTACCTACGTGCGTGTACATTACGTGTTCCAAGCCGGATCTCGGTTCTCATAATCCAACCTGCGTGAAATCTTCAAATGTTCCCCAAAAAAGATGACTTTTGCCAACACTTTGTTCAACACTTCCGAGAAAATGCGGCAGCTACAGGCGTACCGAACTTTGGATCGACTAGCTCGGGATTCATGAATTTTTTCAATGAGCTGCGGTATGAATAGAACATTTGTGTTCCGGGTTTCAGCCGGGAGCTTTAGAAAATCATTTTTAAATACGAATGAGTGAATTAAATTCAGTAGTTGCTTCTTCATTGAAACAACGGTTCGAGGGCGTGATTTAGAAAAATTCAGTCGAATTTTTACCCCGTAGCGGTCGTCGTGAAAATCTAACGATATCAATTTGATATCGAGGTTTTCATGTGTTATATTGTTTATTCCAACCATGGCTCGCGGATCAAAATATCTGCGATGCAATCTGCGGTACAAATGGGATCGATTGTGGCCGGTGATTACCGTTGCACTGAGTGGTATGTGCCTGAATTTTACACTCATCGAATCTTATGGCCGCGGCTGCAGCGTCTACAGGAACTGGACTTTGTACCGCATTTTCAGAATAACAGACACGTGTAGCTTTTACCCCTGACGCAGGAAGCTGTAGTCACATCTTTCGCGGACAATAATGCGAGCAGTCTGTGGCCCAATTCACACCATGGGGATTGGATTTTAATCCCAAAACGACCATGGAACGTTGGCTCGTGGTAGTGCACCATACTGGTGGTGTGACTTTACAACAGGTGCTGGGGTCCATGTACAACAAATTCTGTTTCATGTGGTTCGTGACCATTACACATTTTGTTACGAAACTTTCGAAGTTGGCCAATTTAAATGACTTTTTAAAAGCTGTTTTTCTAATTGGCAGGACGTCGTAATATAAGGTATTGCGATCATTCGCCGAAGTCATTTAATTAGTCACAGTCTCTTGTGTAAATACGGTGGATTCCGAGTGGAATTCGAGCAGATTGCCGGCAAACAGGTAAGGCATACACTTTAATGAACTGTCTCTATCTACGGATTTGTATGATGCTGCTAGGTAATATCAGGTGTCGTGTTTTTTTCATGCAGTTTTGGAAACCGGGGATGAAGCGCGATAGGCGATAGTTCGTAAAACGCATCATGCAGGAATTCAACTGGATCGGCGTTGGTTTGAATCGGCCAAATTTTGCGCCAGATGGGTGAAGGAGAGTGGTTGGTACTAGTGCGCCCCACCATTTCCAGATACCGGATTTTATACAGTACGGCCGCATAAAGGTTGTAGCTAGAGCTTTAAAAATCACAAACTTGATTCGGCATCCTCCCTAGTTCTAAAGCCAAAGATATGGGCTCGGAACCAAGTTCCTCCTCGGTTTAGGATCCAACAAATTTCCTAATTATGGCAGTCTCATTGAATGGCCAAAATCGATCCGAGTATTCATTCACCTCTAACAATTTCTTTGAGTTTGGAGATGAGGTGCATCGTGCATGGATCATGGAGTATTTCACTGAGATAACGACAATGCACATGTACAATGGCCTGATTTCTTCTCACCAACGAGCAGTGAGGGAACAACAACCAGTCAAACACATCTTCACACGAATATGCTTTCAGTTGAGTTGACATTAAGGGCTGGTTCACCAAACGAGCCAGCGATTGTGATCCGATGTTGCGACATTCCTACTCTGCTTACTCATAGGTGAGGTATGCTTGATGCAAATTTCAGTTTGGTTGATTTTTTTGCGTTCAGGCACGCATCCTCTCAAAGAAGAAGCAGAGAATTGATCATGGTGATACAATTAATATCAAACAAATTGGGTGAAACCGGATGTGTCCATCGGCGTTTGGTGGTCGGGTTTTGTACTCGCAAGCGAAACTCTAACCACCTATTTCTCACTCGAATTTCCTAGAACTCTACGATATTACGAGAATTCTCCGAACCTCGAATGACACGATTGGGAAAATCATTTAAAATCAGCGTGGAGTTACTCGAGCATCGTCAGAGAGAATAGGTCTCAAGCTTCCACCTAGTTGCTGTTCATTACATTCCTACTTCTGGAAAACAAAATCATTCTCGTGTATCGACATACATGGTTGTTCCACTCAGAAAATACAAACGGGATTGATAAATCTCATCGGGAAATGGATCGCGAGCGCACGTAATTTGCTTCATTACACTCACAGTGAAAGAGGGGAATAGATCTCGAACCAACACGATGAGCAAACAGCCTGAAGCGACAAAATGCGCATTCACTTCCCCGGGGGAGTCACAAGCAGCCAAATGACCCGCATTTTCTACTCATCTCAAATAGTCGACCATGACTGGAACTTGCTTTGTCGCACAAATATGGCGGTTCCCAAACAAATCACTAAAACGTTATCATTGTCCAAACAAAAGCGTTCGTCCATGATTCGCATACAATCACGTTCATTTGGGTTAGTCCGATGTGAGACTGACTGCTTCGCTTGCATGACCCACACATGCACTCAATGGATTAGGCAAATACTACTGAACATCTTGCATATTTATTAAGAATGGTAAGAAATCATAGCTTTCTCACACTGCCACAGGTTTAATTTCGGCTTTCGGATCAATTTTCCCTGATGCGTATGGTTTTTGACCGACTTTTGTAAGGCGAATTTATACCAGCTCTATAAGTTCCAATTCTCAGGTACTCCGATAAACTGCCATATCTCTATAGTATGATCTAGCCAAGATTTCGTGAGGACTGATTATGCACGGCTTTTGTTGTATCTGTCCGGTGGCCGAGCTATGGGGTTACGCCTGCACTGCGCCTGCCAGACTACGCGATAGTGAGAAGACAGAGAACTGCGGACACGGCTGTATTGCCAGGACAAAACATACAGAATGTCTGCATAAATATATAGGATGACTAATTGGCCAAAAATCCTCGTTCAATTGTTCGCTCCGTACAGCCAGTGGTGGTGTTCCGGTCGTGAACATTCTCAGGCCCACTACGCTGGTCGTGCGTTGATAAGCCCTGTTAGGTGGGAGCCGTGTTTCGTGGGTGCCTTGTTTCGTGGGTGCCGCCAACTCACCTACTTTCCGGACGTGTCGAACCGATGGCGACCTTGGGGAGGCGTCACTCTCATGTCTGGGCGCACCCTGACCGCTTCATGGCGCTTTTTCTTGTCTGGGCGCGCCCTGACAGCTTCATGGAGAATCTTCATCGGAAACGTTCGCTTTACTTCCTCAAACATTCACTGAAATCCCCCATCGTCGAAAAATTACGAAATCAATAAAAGACTCCGGGAAAACAGAGCATTCTGCATTAATCGCAAACAAAGCGATTAGGTACGTTTGGTAGAATTCTGTCGAACTGGGGTACCGTTCCGCTCAGCGCAATCAACTTAGAACAGTCTATCGTCCTACTCACAGAACCGATTGTATGTTTGAACATTGGAACTCGTCTCGTTCACAAACACCTATCACTGACTACTCACTCTACATGAATTTATGAAGTCTTTTATTCCCCAGTATTGTTTTGGCGCAATGTTTTTACCATGATGTTCCCAATCAGCCTGTTTTTTACTAAACCTGACGATCTTGTTATGGAGCTCTTTTAGTTATGGTGTTGAAATCAAAATGACTATAATTCATTACTAAGGCCTGATCATTCCATTCTTGAACGATTCTGTGCAGTCCTAATGTTTTCTAGGGTCAGTGTAGCTTCACAAGGCAATCCAACCTGATGGAACTATTTGACCTTCAACGTTTCTGACGGGCCGCATTGCAAATAGACAAGAGATTTGAATCGTCCGTTTTTCATTGCATTTTTTACGAAAATTGTCTACAAAATACCGAATGTGTTATAGTGCAGCTGTCTACCTCCACCCGCTTGATTTTGTCAACGGAACTCTCGGTGGGCCAGATGAAATGTGACATTCATCCCGTAGAAGCCCAAGGCTCAGTTTCGAAAGACGGTAGGTAAAAACAATCCACCTCTTTAGAGTTTTTGAAATTGGGGCTCCATAATTACTACTTCTTGTTTCTACATTCCACATCGTGACACAGAATTTGTGATTCCCTCAATCAAGAACACGCAAGTACTCCAACAAATGAACCGTTTTACATAATAGTTTTAATGCCCAGGGGATCTTCCTAGGATATCATCAGGCATAGCGTTTTGTTGTACATTAGAAACACCCCCTGAAAACATTGGAATTCTGAAACGCCTGCCTGTCTTTACTACACAGGGGTGATTTTCCTGCCAGCATAACGCCCCATTGGCATGTTGGGGTCTTTCTAACTGCAGTTCTTTTAAACACACTTGGCTGTATCTATAAACAGCTCACGACATTTGGTTGAAATTAGCTAACAGTATCCCAGGTCAACTGTCCAATCTAGTGGACTTCGTTTTCATTCTCCGACTAAAATGGCCTATCAGGAAAGACCCCACGCTATGCAGCTCTTGAAAAAGAGCGAATGATGCGGCCATTCTACGGGAGGATTACCTGGAAGAGGTCATAGTGGATTTATCCTATTTTCCTCGTAACCCTTAATTAGTATAGTGACAACGACGGTGTTGATCAACGCAATGGTGATACCAACTGTATTCGGCTGCATTTGAGATGTCCAAATAGGAGGGAAAAACCCATAAACTATCGACCACTATATGCACACAACGACCATAGCAGGCAATGTGTCGGTAGGGTAGGATCGTCAGAAAAGGACA